CTTAGCCACTATGCTACCAGAGCTCCCCATGATGCAGTTAATAGCCGTTTAATATGCTTAACAACATGTGCAACCCCCCTTTTTTTTTTTTTTGCTTGCTTTTTCCATGCATGGTTTACTTATTTTTTTAACTGCTTCTCACTGTAACATGCAAGTTTTATGAGGAAAAACTTAATACTTTACTCTCTGCTGCATCCTTCTTTTCTAGTAGTATCTGACACATAAAAACTCTATAAATATTTACTGAATAAATTCCTGAAAGAATTTATGAATTAATGAACATGTTTGCAAAACTTGAGAGAAAGGGCCTGTAATTTTTTTTCTCTTACTCATTGTTTAGATGAGAACTATTAAGTATTTTTTTAAATATCTTTTCTGGTTATTGGTATATTTAGTGGGTTTTCTTTTTCTTTTTTTTCTTTTACTGTTTATCTTTGAAGGCAATATCTATCTAGAAAACATAATTGTTCTATAATTTCTAATTTCTTTGCTAATATTTTATATTATTTTATGTTCATTTCTATTGTTATTAATATTTTAAATAATCTCTAACAGTGTTTATTTCTTCGTTCATTTTCTTCATTGCCATTGTCAAAGAATCAGTGTTTGAACTTATTGGCTATATCTCTACTTTTTAACTTTTATTTTCTGCTTAATTTTATAGAGTTTATTTTTTGTTTCGTTTCTCTAATTATTTATTCCTTTGCTAGTTTGTACTGTCTGTATACTTAGTTTATGTATTTATTTTCTTCCTTATTTCCAATAAATACATAAAAAACTGTTTCCTCTAAATAAGGTTTTGCCTGCATTCTACAAGTCTTACCATTTAGCATTATTATTCTGATGCACTTATAAGTAATTTACTTATGTATATTTATTTATTTAACTTTTATTGTGGTGAAAACATAAGCAGTAAGGCATTCACTAAAAATCAACTTCCTCATTTACAGCTCAGGGAAATTGATGACATTTTTCATATTGTGTCACCTTTATTGCAATCCTTTTCCAAAGTATTACATCACCATTAGCATAAACCCAATGCCCAGCAAACAAAAGCTTCCCCTTTCCCCTCCTAGCACTGGTAACCACTAATAATATTTGGGATATATACATATATATATATATATTTTTTTTAACCCCTATTTAGGAATTTAGCCTCCCCTCCCTTCCTATCCCTGGTTATCAACAAAGAAAGTTTTTTTTCCATGTACAAACTTTTCTTTGACGTTTTGCAATAGTGGACTAATACAATACATGTCCTTCTGTGACTGACGTATTTCACTCAGCATAATGTCCTCCAAGTT